TCATTGGATCAGGACTAGTGATGCAGGGGTCGGGGGTTCAATTCTCAGTCCAGTCATAAATTTTCTCCTTTCCTGTTACACACATTAATAAATATATTAAAAATAAACTATACTGGGTAATTAATCTGAATCAAATATGTACTACAGTATGAAGTGCTAAGTACATGTACAAGTTTACAGTTAAGTAACAACACTTGGAACTTAAAATTTTTGTGATCATGATGCATATAGATATAGATAATACATGTGTGGCGGTCAGCCGGGATCGATCGCCGGTGGCCAGATAGCTCAGTTGGTAGAGCACCTGACCGGAGTTTCAGGGGGCCCGGGTTCGAATCCCGGTCTGGTCCGCTGCATTTTCTCCTCTCCCGTTACATTTGGTGCCGTGCCATGCCCTAGAATTGACAGGTGAAAGACCTGCCAGGGATGAGCCTGGGTTGGGGTCTTTGGAGGGCCAAAGACCTTTAAGGAGGGAGGAATGTGGCGGTCAGCCGGGTTCGATCGCCGGTGGCCAGATAGCTCAGTTGGTGGAGCACCTGACCGCAGTTTCAGGGGGCCGGGTTTGAATCCCGGTCTGGTCCGCTGCATTTGGTGCCGTGCCATGCCCTAGAATTGACAGGTGAATTAAAGACCTGCCAGGGATGAGCCTGGGTTGAGGTCTTTGGAGGGCCAAAGACCTTTAAGGAGGGAGGAATGTGGCGGTCAGCCGGGTTCGATCGCCGGTGGCCAGATAGCTCAGTTGGTAGAGCACCTGACCGGAGTTTCAGGGGGCCCGGGTTCGAATCCCGGTCTGGTCCGCTGCATTTTCTCCTCTCCCGTTACACATGTATAGATAATATATTTAACAGAAACACTAATAGAAAAAAATTAGTTTTAAAACCTGGAGAGCACATGTACTTATTCACATGAGCTTCCCTTTTGCAGCTGAAATTAATTTGTTGTACTTATTTTATTGCAACAGACCTGCCAACCAAAATTGATGCTGCGGGGGGTCATGACCCAACATTCAGAATTGAAATGTTGGGTCATAGCGCGCGGCGACATTTTCGTTGGGGTTTGAGTAACAAAATGCTTCCTAATTTTTAGGCATCAATGCAAGCAGTCAAACACATGCATGTATATGTTATATTTTATTGCAGACTTAATTTTTACTTAGGACAGGTTACCTAAAATTGCTTGTATAAGAACACTTTTAGATTGATAGTAAGATTCAGATACTTTTAGTTCAATAGAATTTTTGCAAAGTTTAAAAAATTTAAAAGTTTCAGGGAAACATTTGTTAGATTCTACAATGATTAATTTTCAACATATTACACAATCAGAAAATTGTAATTTGACATTACATTGAAAGATTAATATTGAAAAATTGCTGCTGCAGGGGGTGGTGGTAAGAAATATGTGCCATCTAATTTTCTATTATTAATTTTAAAACACACAAAAAATAAATTAAATGAATCAAATACTACAAAATAAATAATGAAAGATACCTAACACCCCAAACAAAAACTTAAAATCGTTAGAGTCATGATGTGACTGACAAGTGGGTATTTCCTTCAGGCTTGTCATAGCCATTTAACAAAGAAACACAACGTATAATACTACATTTTTTTTGGGGGGGGGGAGAGAAATTCAATATACTTCATTTTAGACTCTTTTGCTTTATCTTAATATCATTTTCTTTTAACCACTACACTTAACAATAATTTCAATATATGAGAGCTGATAAAATCAGCTGTTATCAGTTATGCTTTGTAGTTTCGTTTTTTACTTTCGTTTTTTAAAAAAACGATCCCAATGTTTATCATATCATTGTATTTAATTAATTAATTTCTGTTTTTAATAAAATGATATTTAATTAACCTTTAAATCTATGTGGCTCACCATGCATATACCCCTTCAAATGGTTACGTATAATCCCCTAAATGCTCCAGGCATATTACCTGTACAGGGTGTCTTCTACCTATTCCCACTTTTTAAAAATCTCAATTCCACCTATTCCCACTTGCCTATAACAATAGATGTTTAGATAGTTTAACGATAATTAGACTAATTACATCCCCTCTTAGATTTACCTGTATTTTGTACATTTTAAGACAGAAATTAATAAATAAATTTGTCAGAAAATATTATTTATTTCCTTCAAAAATTGGGATTTGAGAGAGTAACAAAAAAAGGTCTAACAAGAAACTGCACTTTTATAGCTACATTTGTGAACAAATAATAAATAGATTTATCGAGGTAAGGATTTTAAATAAGTGGATTCTAGAATGAATAGATAAATGGGGAAAATATTTAATTCCCTGTAAAATCTTTTTCATTTTTTCAAATATTGGTTAAAAATTCTTATTATTTTAAAAAGCAAATATACCTGTCCTAACCTCTATGGGTATTCTTTAATCATTGTTTATATAGTTATTGTATGTTTTCATAGTTATTTGTTTGTTGACACAAAAATTCCACCTATTCCCACATGAAATCTTACCTTTTTCTACCTGATTTTCAAAAAGTGGGAATAGGTAGAATGAACCCCTGTACAGCTGTGTCAGTCTGCGATCAAGCGTGAAGTGATTTCCTGTGGCTAATTAACAGTTTTTTAACACCTCGGCAAACAAAGATACTAATCTGTGTGCATTGAATAAACAAGATGTTCATATCCTGATTTATAAAACACAAATCGGAAATTTTAGGATGAATTTTCAGATCTTTCTTGTTGAGACAAACATGCTTAATTAATATTGGGTCAAAAAATTGGGATGATCGATTTTGCGGGTGAAAACAATGACACACCGCGGGTCATTATGAGTGGGGGGTGAGAGGTCAATTTTGCGGGTGTAACCCACCGAATGCGGGTCACTTGGCAGGTCTGTTGCAAATTAAGCATTCAAACTTTGGGAGTATTTTCCACCCTTCAAGATGAATTAAGAGGTGACGTACCCAACAAACTTCAATTCTTTTCGTCACTCGATCTTTATGACTTATTGTATTCACCCAAGCAAAACTCATTCCTAAAGGTGAAAAGGATAGTGTGTTGACATGATGACTACAATAGTATTGCATCATATACCTGGATGTAAACAAATACATACATATAAAATTGTATAAAATCTCAGTATCTAAAGGATGCACCCCCTTCCTTAAGGTCCTGTTGTCTACTGATGAATGAAATCTGATGACGTCAAGTTTAGTACTTGACATATTAGAAGTTAAATAATACAAAATAATTCAAATATGGGAATCAGGATTTAATTGTGATCATTACCAAAAAAAAACATACTTTTACACAAATACATCCTTTGAACAGTTTTTCTTAGATCTGTAATAATATAATAATATTATTAAAGTGCTGATGAAAGTGTACTGTTAGCTAGATTACTTGTCCAGTTACTAGATCGCTCAGGTGTGACATAATGTTGATGTTTGAACTGGACAAAGATTAAGTTGGTTGCCCTTTCCTTAATAGGTTAAATGTAGCATTGGCACTGTGTGTAGCTTTTAAAAATGTGTAAATAGTAAGGCCTTTTGAATGAAAACGTCACTTAAGAAGCTTAGATTTTTTTCTTTAGACTGACTGTTATTGATATTCTAGCTTTATACAAAGTCTTTCAAAAGGTCAAACTCATTTTCACCTCTGACGTACGTACATGTATGTACATATAACTCAGTAAACAAGTGTACAACATTGATAGATCCTGGGCTTGCATCATTGTACACTCATGGCAGAATGTATAAGGTAATCACACGCTATAATAACACGGTAAAACTCGTCATGTTAATTTTGAATTAATTTTGGATTCTTTGGTAAACTTTTAACTGTAGTATCCAAGATTTTCACCTTATATGATAGAAATTAGCTAAATACAGTAAGAAAAAAAGCTCTGATAGTAAATGTCAGCTTATCAGCTTCACCAGCATTGCTTTCAATTCTGAGTTAGTTACTCCATTGGTTAATTAGCTAAGGTGATTTTACTATATTTGTACATGCATTTGAGGGAATAAAGGTTTCATAGTGTCCATCCATTTGTTTTGAAAATGCCATTCTTCCTACACTTTTTACTTGCTAAATGTCTGTGAATTAAATTGGGCATATGTACATGGTAAATACTGTAAACCAACTTTTATTTGTGTGCGAGAAATTTATGTGAGTTTGGTGAGAGACTCGACATCGCGAATATTTCTCGCAGCGAAACCAATCTTTATCGATAAAGTCTCTTTGTCTATCAACAACAGATGCAAAAAATGCTTGATCGCAAAAATTAATCGTCGCGAACTAGTTCTGGTAAATAACTGGTAAATAACGAAATAAAGTGCATAAAAGTTGGTTTACAGTATACACTATTTACATTTTTTTTTCAGTATCATTGAAAAATGTTGAGTCTTCAATTGTTAATAAAATAATAAGTAAACTTGTATCTGATTTAGTTTATCTTCAGTAAAGGGTCATGTGTAGTAAACTATTGTACTTGTGAGCATTTTTAATTTGTTGTTTAACATCCCTCTTGAGAATATTTCACTCTTATGGGGACACCACCATTTGCGGGTGGAGATCATTAAGCTGCAAATTTTGTCATATACTTAGGGTCATTGGGCAGTGAGGGATGTTTTTCATGCATACACCTACTGCAACACGGGACTTCTGTCTATTATACATGTAATAGGGTATTGTCCAAAAAAGAAATTTAACTTCTTGACATTCCACAATGAGATTAAAACATGCAACGTAAGGATTAACTCCTTTTTTCCCCATAGATATAAGCATATTATATGACATTGCATTTTACCTTATATATTTAAAGGATATAAATTATGTATAAACATACACATTTCATATACATGTATATATAGAGAGAGAACTTATTTTTTCAGTCAGTCTGCTCTGTATACTTCAAAAGGACATAATGACTTCATTGACCAGGTATAAGAAGAAGAGCCTGTTAATTTAAGGTGCTATGGAGAGATTTTATTTAAATTTATTTGTAATGTGAGTGTTTTTCTTGTTTCAGTCAGGGATCTCTAGAAGAGGTAGAGAGATTGGCCAAACTGATCAAGCAGAGGATAAGGCATGCTCCAAAACTTGGCATTGTCTGTGGATCGGGTCTGGGAGGGCTGGCAGATGTTGTGGAGGACAAACAGACTATTAAATACTCTGAGTTAGAGGGACTCCCAGTTAGTACAGGTAGGTCTGGGTCTTGACAGGTTTATAATGATAGATCAGGATCTGAACAGATTGATCAGGGTTAATAGTAAAATATGCGTCCAAGCAGGAAGAAAAAGGTCAGGGAGGTCAAAGTTAGTACAAGTAGGTGTTAGGTCATTACATGTACATCAAATAAGTAATGTTATGGAATATCAGGATCAGAATAGATTGCCGATAATCATCTCATGAAGGTTAGAGCTAGAATTGGAAGATAAGTTCAGTGGGAAAGATCTGTGTGGCTCAACACAGGCTGGTCAAGTTCACTGCATGTTTAGGGATATCTTTTTATGACTTGGAAACTATAAAAGCCATTATGGGTGTTGTTCATTAGTATCTTTTTTTCTTTCAATAAATCACACAATTTGCAAGTGATGGGACAACAGGGATTTTTTAAGAGTCTGTAGGAGAAGAAATAAAACCCTATTCCAAATTCTAAAAGTCAAACAAACAAAACAGGTATTTTTTCCCAAAATTTGTTTCAAAAGTCCCATAAAAATGAAAAATTAAAAGAAGCCTTTTGTATAATTGAATCTAAGAAAAAAAAGTCTCAGATTTCAATATTGACTTTAAAATTGTAAAATAAAACTTATTTCTAAAAAGTTGTCTAATTTTAAAAGCAAATTTCTATTTAACCAGTGATGTCAAGTTTTTATTGTATATGTGTCTTTTACAGAGTTTGTCTCACTCTGTTTTAATTGATTCCTTCTTTGATTACAGTTCCTGGTCATGTGGGACAGTTTGTGTTTGGTCTGCTGGATAAGGTACCAGTCATGTTGATGCAGGGGCGGGTCCATGTTTATGAGGGGTATCCTCTTCATCGTGTGAGTATATACTCGAAAACTGTGCTGAAAAATTTAGGCCTGGCATGTTATAGATCTTATCTTATCCTTATTAGCATCTGATAAAAAATTAATAAAACATATATTTCAGATTGTTTTGCCAATAAGGGTGATGTGGAAACTTGGAATAAAGAACCTGATTTTAACAAATGCAGCGGGAGGAATCAACCCAGAGTATAAAGTGGGGGACGTCATGATCATGAAGGACCACCTCAACCTTCCAGGATTCTGTGGGATAAATCCCCTCATAGGCATCAACGATGATAGGTGAGCACATTGAAATTAAGCCAAAACACAAAACAAGGCCAAACTACAAAACAAGTGACATCACCAGAAATCAGACACATAGAACATAAGACTAAACCATTTAACAACAGTGAATACTGAAATCACTTTAACCAGACATATACTTACCCAGGTAGATCGAACATGTTTGTGCAACTGTAAATTTCAGACAAAATATTGTAGTATGCTATAGATTTTTTGTAAACAATAAACAAAACAAAGAGAGAAAGAGAAAAAAAAGACATTATTTCAATGATTGAATTCTTTTTAATAATCAAATAATTGAACCTTGAACTCTCAAGAGTACAATCTGTATTTGATTTTTAGAAATAGTACCAGCATTAACCAGTTTTTATCAAGGCAGGTCAAACTAAATTTCAACATGAATTGCATCATTTCCTGTAACTTAAAGTAGGACTGCAGGTGTTATCAAGGTTTTACAAAATACTGGCAGTTAATGTCAAGATAGAGTTATTCATTCAATTCATTTCAGTTTAATTTAATGTTATTGATATGGACAAACCTCATGTTATTAGGGACGAAGTTTTCCCCCCATATTTTTCAATTTTATTCAAGTGATGGCAAAGTAGGGATGATTATTTTAAGTAATGAGCCCTTTATTGAAATGATTAAATTCATCTACTGGTTCCATTCTAGCCCATAGAATCAGTGTTTAGGCTCAGGGGTGGAGTTAAGTTGGTCATGAAGTGAAAATTTTAGTCACACATTTGAACATTTCCAGTCTCCAGGGTGAGGCTTAGTTAGTTATCATATGGAAATACATTAACTGAACAAAGAATTTCCAGCGTCTACCCAAATTGTGAAATTCCTGGTTTCAGCAGATTGGCCTCAGGGTGGAGTTGAGTCGGTTATGTATTGAAGATACAACTTAAATTTTTTTTTAGCTCAACTGAGCTACAAGCATCTTTATTTTTCTTGCAAAAAATTAAATTTATGATTATGCTTGATCTGCAGTGAATCAGGTGTTGAAAAACCACATGCATAATTCAACACCTGCATACATAATATAAAATTTCTCTACATTTATAAAGCTGTTTATGTTTTCCAGAATTGGTCCAAGATTTCCACCAATGTCTGATGCATACAACAAAGAATATAGAGAAATTGCAAAGGAAACAGCCAAAGAGCTGGGATTTTCTGACTTTATACGAGAGGGAGTCTATAGCTTCCTGACTGGGCCAACATTTGAAACGGTGACAGAGTGCAGATTGTTACGCTTGATTGGAACTGATGCCACAGGTGTGTGTAGTTTATGTATAACTCAGCTGTTATCAAGGCTTTTGTGTCATTCTGTTGTCAAAAAATTAATTTTTATTTGTCCTTGCTTTACTGAACTGCTAAAGAGATTATTTTTAAACTTTATACTGGAAATTTACTGGCTAATATTTATGTTCTGTAGGAATGAGCACAGTACCTGAGGCCATTGTAGCCCGTCACTGTGGAATGGAAGTCCTAGCTATGTCTCTAATTACAAACTCGTGTGTGATGGAATTCGACTCTGACCAGACGGCCAACCATGAAGAGGTGCTAGAAACCGGCAAGTCACGCTCCAGTGACATGCAGAAACTCATCACAAAAATCGTAGAGAAGATCGCAGCTGAGTGATTTCTCTGTCCCACCCACTCCATGGCATAATCCACAGCTAACCCTCTCATTAATTCCACGACATAATCCACAGTTAACCCACTCAATAATTATTGTAGGCGGTTTTGTTGAATTCAGATCTGAACAAAATTTGGTATATGATTTTTCAACTTTTTTCCCCATTTGACAGGAATTCATAGAATGGGTTTTTATCTCAGGCTTATTGATGGTTAAATGGCTCAATGATCTCAATTCGAGGGGTTTTTTTTAGTAATTGAATGTTGATCAAATTTTTTTATTGTATTTTTTTGAAAAAAAATAATTAAATAAATTATATATACTCACATTTAGATAACCGCATCAGTATTTTCAGGAGCAAGAAGATACTTCCAGTGCAACAATCTTTGGAGATGTGTATTAACTTTTATAGCATTTATTTTCTTGAAGAAGGGGAGGCTAGGAAGATTCTCAAACAAACTAGGAAAATAAATTCATATTGTGTAACAGAGAGAAATAGGGAAACAGGAAGAAAAAAATAGATAATAAAATGTGTAAACTGAAAAAAAAAACTTGCAGAAAATTTATGTGAAGGAATAGTCAACCACTTGTTCACAACTGATACATTCGTATATATTCAGCATTGATTTGCATTATTCATCTTCACGTTCTTTTTACAAGACAAAGCTTTAATTTTAAACAAGGTTGTGTAACCATATATATTTATATATATAAATACATTCAACCATTTTTTGAGGTGGTGTATTTTGGGATAATTTATTTTTCTCATTTGATGTAGAGGTTTGGTGTATTTTTTAATTTTTATATACATTTATGTATTTATTTATCATTAAGTGCTGCATCCTTTATTAAACTAAATATGTAAAGCAGCAAAACTTGCAGTCCTTGAATTTATTTTGCTATATCCATTATTTGTCAAGTGTTTATTATGAATTAGCATGTTTTCCTTCAAGTATGAAATATTAAGGTCAGTATTTACTACAAGGGCTACCTTAGATTTCTTAAGTTTTTTAATGAATTGAATTTCAAATGTAAATACCCAGGTACCCCTTTAAAATATTTGGAATTTTTTGAGAATTCACTAAAGAGAGATATAAATTTTGTTATCTTTAACCTCAACGGGACACTCAGTTTCCTTTGTTTAGAAATTTTTTATATAAAAGTCCATTATAACCATTAAATTATAAAAGGAAATTGATATATCTATACATCTATATCAATGTTCCTAGTAAACAAGTTTTACTGTATATTACAAATTATAACTTATCAAGGTTTATGTTTACTACATGTACTATAATGTTTGAGTACATGAAAAAATATAGAGCTTGTGTGTCTTTGTTTGATGATATATAGAAAGTTTTATTTTTGTATTCGATTGCAACAATAATAAAGTTCCATATTATTAAAATGCCTTCCAATGAAATGTTAGAAGGATTGAATTCTCATTTGAAGAAATCTTTTCTGAGGAATTGCTCACTGCATGTTGAGGACAATCTCTTTTTTATTGAATGGTGAATCATTAATGTATGGTAAGGTTATGATGGTGTGCTTTAAGATTTTAATTATTTGTTTTCTTTTTTTTTAACCTTTGTAATAGAAACATCACATGAAAATTGTTATTTTATATGATAAGTAAGGTAGTCCAATGATAAATAATAAGTACCCCCTTTATACCTGGTGTATTATTTTGTTCTCTGTAATGTGTTTGGAAATTAGAATTGATGGATGCTATTATCACATGCCAAATATGTGTGAAGCTCCAAATTGTGCACAGCTTGTAATACATTAACAGAAGAATTTCAGTTTTATTAGCTCACCTGAGCCGAAGGCTCAAGTTTTTCCCTGTATTTTCACATTTTCATCTTCTTCTCAAGTTCTTGGCACAAAGTGTAATGTGTTTGGAAATCATGAATTTATTAAAAATTAATGGCATTTTTAATTGAACCGCTGGAAAGATCAAACTCATGCATCCTCAGGTAGTGTAGATTCAAATTTGTTCAAATGACCAAGGGTGGGGCCAAAATATGTATAGTCTTTAAAAATCTTCTTCTCAAGAACCACTGGACCAGGAAAAATGAAACTCATGTGGAATCATCCTCGGGTAGTGTAGATTCAAGTTTGTTCAAATCATGACCCCCGGGGCAAGGGTGGCGCCAAAATGGACGACCCTAGTTTTACATAGGAATATACAGGGAAAATCTTTAAAAAATCTTCTTCTCCAGAACCACTGAGCCAGGAAAGATTAAACTCATGTGGAATCATCCTCAGATAGTGTAGATTCAAGTTTGTTCAAATCATGACCCCCGGGGCAAGGGTGGGACCAAAATGGCCGACCCAAGTTTTACATAGGGATATATAGAGAAACCTTTTAAAATCTTCTTTTCAAGTAAAAGAATTAGTGATATTTATATGGAATCATCCTCAGTTGTTATTTTCCGCCTGGAGGGGGGGGGGGGTAAATATGTGCTCAACATAACATCACTAGGAGTAAATCTGCGTTAATATGCCTCATTACCAGTGATGCAGTAATTGTAAGGGCACTGTAGACCCTTGATCAATACTATACCATCAGGGAAGAATGTGATATACATATCTGTACATCCTTCTAAATAATTATTCACCTACCAGGTATATATCGTATACATATTGTATTCCATTGACCAACTGTTCCTGATGTTACAATGCAAGAAAACTGCAGATGGTGGTAATTTGACGACACATTCCAATTCTTCAATACATATACAATGTACTTGTACAACTGCTCTGTAGTTAAACATAAAATTTTACAACAGGTGTATATTAAAAGGTACAGTCTAGCATTTTATTGTTCATCAATAATTGTTAATTTGAAAATGAACTTGTGTTCACATAGAAATTGCATCTATTGATTCTGAAATTAGATGTTGAAGATTTGTGTTAAAATACATGTACAGCTGTTTTGTCTAGAATCTCAAAAACTTTCTTAAGATGATAGCTAGTATTTTTTTTATATAATAGATTCCTACGAAATACAATAGATATATTATCTTGTAGATAGTTTGTTTGTGTGCTTAGTTTGATAGGCATGTTTAATACAGTGTCTTTTAATACCAGAACTGTAATTGTTAGAAACACCTCATTATTGTTTTCGATGTTTCAGAGTATTTTTGTAGACTTGTAAAGGATGTGTATAAATGTAGTTGTTATCATACTTATACATAAAGTAAATATTTTTGTACAGATTTAATTTATTTTTGTATCACATATTAGTAAAACAGATACAATGTACTGTCAATTAAAATGGAGACAAAATAAATACAAGACCAGAACTGCTCTGTCAAGTATTTTACAAGGAATTCTGTAATTAAAAGAAAAAACAAGAATTTTTCATAAATTTTGAAGGAGTTAATATATCCTTAAAAACTAAAAATATGGATTTTCGTTTTAAAAATCAATGGGCTACATGAAATAGGAAGAGAAATGATAGAGTATAGACACTCTTATCAATATGTGATTGAACAACTTTGTACCTGGAAAAAGACATTTTTCATTTGAGGTCATACAAAAGTAAGAGCAAGTCTGTCAAAATAGAAAACTGATACGCATTTGTCAGGTTGTGACTTGTGTGTCTGCATATTGAGGGTCAAGGTCGGAGACCTTGGTCTGTCTGGTTTATGCGCAGATAAGACCTTTGTGCGCATTAACAACAGAAGATCTTTAAGTCTTAAAATAGCAGCAGGGGGGCTCCTCTTGATAAGATTCATATGACCAAAATCTTATTGATTATATTTAACCCCAGGTCAGGAGCATCAACAAGTATTTGAAATTGGGAAAGCAAACTAGATCAAAGGGGGAGCGGATGTCAACTGAACTGTTTTTACATGTATGAGGTAAATAAAGATAATGAACATTACTAGTTCATGTCAAAAAGGCTACAAATAATTCAAGAATGTAAAGGATATTCTAAATTGTTCGAAGGAAGGGCCAAGTTCTAACACAAGGAGAGATAATCAAGAAAAGGTAAAAGCAAGGTTTAAAAAATCTCAAGAACCACTGGGACCACAGGCACCTGACGTTACTTATTTTTCTTTTAATAAAAAAAAAATATACACATATTATTAGGTATGTGTATATTTTTTTTATTAAAAGAAAAATAAGTAACGTCAGGTGCCTGTGACTGGGACAGAAGAGATGAAACGTGTGAAATCTGCATGAAGCAGTGTAGATTCTAAATTGTAATAAGGAAAGTAGTATTGCTCTATTCTTATTTCAATTACATGTATATAAGATTTGAAAAATCTTATAATCCACTGTATTAAAAGTTTACACACGATAAGATTTTGATGTATAATACAAGTATATATTATATCATATCATCATTCCTTTACCCCCTGTGTATATATTATACATGCAATATAAATCTTACCATGTGTAAATAACAAACTTTATAAAGAAAATCAGCAACAAATACAGGTCGTTACAACAAGATTTGTATTTTAATGCAATGAAATATGAAAATAATGAACAGTAATGACGCCTAATAATCGTGATCCCATGCCGGATTGGACAAAACAAGATGGCGGCGGTAACAAATCGAAAAAGGTAGGTACCTAAGATTTCGGTTAATATCCCCCGTTAACCGTCAGATATGCTTGATCCGAAGATACTGTCGAATTCCTAGTAAAATGTTTATTAGTGTGTTTAATTGCTACTTTTCCTATCGTCTCTTAAACTTGAATATTTAACGACTGATGACTGCAGAATTTCTCCGATTGAGTTTGAAGCGGCATGGAGTTGTTTTTTTCTTCGATTTTGACAGTTTTATGCATCCAGCAGCAGGAGTGTGGCTAACAAATGATACTTTGGAGTAATTCTGACCTGGTGTTATATGTTTATTTGTTATAACCCATTTTCTCACAAAAATATTTCGATTTAAAAATGTTGACATGTGCTGGATTGGAATCGGTTAATTTTAATGGAAATTGTGCCGGATTAGACTGCATTTTTGGTGCCGGATTGGATGATGTTCATGATGGTCATTTATGTAATAACTTTTTTCTCTTTTAGTTTTCAAGCTATGGATGCATAGTTTAATGAAATATACCAGAAGGAGGAATTTAAATAATATAGCTTAGCTTATCTTACCGAAGTAAGATTGTTATCAATTATAGTCACGTATAGTAAACGTTTAACAGTAAAAAATCTTAGTACTCAAATGTCACCCTATGTTTTGAAAAATGAGTGAAAACGACAGCGTGTAAAAATATCTAAACAATTATCTTAAAATATCAGTATTTGTAGTTATCCACGTTTGTTTGAAATTCAAACAGATAATGAAACTTGAATCTATTGCTTAAAACCCTCGAAACAAAATTTACAATAAGATTTACTTGACAAAAACAGCAAAGGTCTGAGAAGAGCAAAAAAATTGCTAGAGCACAAAGACAGATTTATATGCAATTTTCTTAAATATTGTTGTTCTTGTTGTTCAAATTCGTATTCAGGGAGGCAGTTTAATTTCTGGAAGAGTCTAGAAAGCATTTTTTAGCAAAAATAATCGAAAGGTGAATGAGAGCAAGGAACCAGAATCAGGAATCCACTACATTGAATTTCTTCTTGATAGCGTCAAAACCCACACGCCCTGAAGAGTAAAGGACTTTTTGGGATAAACAGAAAGTTATTTTTTTTTCACATTAACAATATTCGCCAGATCTTTCGCTTTTTGACTTGTTTCATTTTCCAAACTTGAAAAA